CCCCCGTTCCCCCTCTTCCTCCCCTCTTCCAGGGCACTGCCAGCCTTGTGCAGAAGTGCCTGTACTCCAGCGTCGCCGACTCTGATGAGGTGCGTCCCTCCATCCTCCTCCCAGCTGTCCGCCACTTGCCTCCCCCGCGCGCATGTCCCGCAGGCGCAGCTCACCCTCATTTGCCACCCTGCTGCCATATGTATTTCCCGACTTGGCGTTCCCTCCCTGCCTGGCGTGCCACCGTAGGTCCGCATCCCCCGCATGCGTAACATCGGTATTTCGGCCCATATCGACTCCGGCAAGACCACCACCTCCGAGCGCATCCTCTTCTACAGTGGTCGTATCAAGGCCATCCATGATGTACGTGTCCTGCTCGAGGGCCCGTTCTCCCCCCTCCCCCGCTGGGGCTTTGGCCTGATCCCTCCCCCCCCCCTCCCTCCCTCTCTCCCTTCTCCGCGTCCAGGTTCGCGGCAAGGATGGTGTCGGTGCCAAGATGGATTCCATGGATCTCGAGCGCGAGAAGGGTATCACCATTCAGTCGGCCGCCACCTACTGCTCCTGGGGCGACTACAATATCAACCTGATTGATACTCCGGGTGCGTGGCCATCTCGCAGAGGCGCATGCATGCGCGCATGCACATGCACTAACCTGTCTCCCCCCTCCCCTCCCCCCGGCACCCATAGGTCACGTTGATTTCACCGTCGAAGTGGAGCGCTCTCTGCGTGTCCTCGATGGTGCGGTCCTGCTGGTGTGCGCCGCGTCCGGTGTCCAGAGTCAGACCACCACTGTCGATCGCCAGATGAAGCGCTACGGGGTGCCCCGTGTGACCTTCATCAACAAGCTTGATCGGTGTGTGCATAGCTCCCCCTCGCTCGGTGCTCGCCCTGCTCTGGTTCCCCCCCCCCTTCTCGCTGTTGTGAGCTAACAACCCGCCTGGCGGCTGCGTCTGTCCAGTCTCGGTGCCGACCCCTTCGGCGCCATCACCCAGGTCCGCGAGAAGCTTCACGTCAACGCGGCCGCCATTCAGATGCCCATCGGCCTGGAGGGCAACCTGCAGGGTGTCGTCGACCTGATCAACATGCGTGCCCTCTACTTTGAGGGCGAGAGCGGTGAGATGGTCAAGGTCAAGGAGATCCCGGCCGACCTGCAGGAGGAGGCCGAGACCCGCCGCCAGGCTCTCATCGAGGCCCTGGCCGATGTGGATGACGAGCTCGGTGAGAAGGTCATCATGGAGGAGGAGATCACCGTTGAGAACATCAACGACGCCATTCGCCGTGCCACCATCGCCAACAAGTTCTCCCCGGTGCTGATGGTGCGCACTTTTTTCGGATGGATTTGTCCTCTCCCTACTGTGTGGGGCACAGTCATTGCTCCCCTTTGCCACCTCACCATCTGACCGGGATTCTTTCCTTTTTTCCGCCCCCCCCCCATCCGCAATCCCCGCGCGAACACGCACACGCACACGCACACGCACACGCACACGCACACGCACACGCACACGCACACGCACACGCACACGCACACACGCACACACGCACACACACACGCACACACACACACACACACACACACACAGGGCTCCGCTTTCAAGAACAAGGGTGTCCAGGCCCTGCTGGACGCCATTTGCCGGTTCCTCCCCAACCCCAAGGAGGTGCAGAACTTCGCCGTCGACTCCAAGAAGGACAACCAGCAGGTGGAGCTCCACTCCGACTCGTCCAAGCCCCTCGTGGCTCTGGCTTTCAAGCTGGAGGAGGGTCGCTTCGGGCAGCTGACTTACGTCCGTGTGTACCAGGGCACCCTGCGCCGTGGTGACTTCGTGACCAATGTTCGCAGCGGCAAGCGCGTCAAGGTCCCGCGTCTGGTGCGCATGCACTCCGACGAGATGGAGGACGTGGAGGAGATTGGCGCCGGCGAGATTTGCGCCCTCTTCGGTGTGGAGTGCTCTTCCGGTGACACCTTCGTGGCCAATGGCGACAGCTCGGTGGAGTCGATCTCGCTGGAGTCGATGTTCGTCCCGGAGCCGGTCATCTCGCTGTCCCTGGCCCCGAAGGACAAGGGCAACAATGCCAACTTCATGAAGGCCCTGCAGCGCTTCCAGCGCGAAGACCCGACCTTCCGCATGCACAACGACCCGGACAGCAATGAGATCATCATCAGCGGCATGGGCGAGCTGCACTTGGAGATTTACGTCGAGCGCATGAAGCGCGAGTACAACTGCGAGTGCATCACCGGCCGGCCGCGGGTGGCCTACCGCGAGACCATCTCCAAGCGGGTGCCCTTCAACTACACCCACAAGAAGCAGTCCGGTGGTAGCGGCCAGTTCGGCCGTGTCATCGGCTACATGGAGCCCATCGGCTCGACCCCGGAGGACATGGCCGCCGCGCCGCAGTTCTTCAACGACGTCGTGGCCGGGTCCATCCCGCCGCAGTTCATCCCGGCTTGTGAGCGTGGTTTCAAGGAGTCCGTCGACAAGGGGCCGCTTTCCTTCAACCCGGTCAGCGGTGTGCGCATGGTCCTGGAGGATGGTCTCCACCATGCGGTCGATTCCAACGAGTTGTCCTTCCGTCTGGCCACCAAGACCGCCTTCCGGCAGACCTTCCTCGAGGCCGGGCCCATCATCATGGAGCCCATCATGCGCGTGGACATCACCGTGCCGCAGGAGTTCCAGGGGTCGGCCATGGGCGAGCTGAACCGCCGCCGTGGTATCATTCTCGGCACCGAGATCAACATGTACCAGCAGTGCATCATCACCGCCGAGGTGCCGCTCAATGTCATGTTCGGCTTCTCGACCGATCTGCGCTCCATGTCCGAGGGCAAGGGCGAGTTCACCATGGAGTACACCCGGCATGCGCCGGTTCTGCCCAACGAGCAGGAGGCCCTGGTGGCGGACTTCAACAAGCGCCGTGCCGCTGGTGAGATCAAGATGACCGAGTAAATGCGTGCGAGTGCGAAGGAGAGACCTGTGCACACCTCCTCCCCTCGGCGAGTGGCTGTGTGTGTGTGTGTCGTGAATGTGACTCGGCCGCCCTCTCCCTGCCGCTCCCTGTGCTCTATTTCTCTCTGTCCGCGCATGTATGCCTCTTTCTTTCTTTGTTTTTCTCTCTCCCCCCCCCCCTCCAGATCTCTATCTGCCATCCCTATCCCACCCAATAGACGATCCCCCTCTGCCATTTTTCTCCCCCCGGCCCTGCCCGGGGGGCCGGGCCGCCCGGCCCTCCTGTCTCTGTGTCACACCGTGGGGGTTGGGGCCAGTGTATGGTGGGGAGCTCTCTGGGGGGGAGGGGTGTGTTTTTTCTTTTCCCTTTGCCGTCCGCTCGCAATCCGTGAGAGGACGCGCTGCGCAACAAAAGAAAAGGGGGAAGAGGAAGACAAGGGTGGGCCGCCTCCCCGCGCACTTGCTGCTGCTGCTGCTGCTGCTGCTGCTGTTGCTGCTGCTGCTGTACCAAGCGGCCGGCGGCATTGGCGCGCCAGGTGCGGATGCCGCTGCGGGTCGGCTTACTCGGCCATCAGCTTCTCGATGTCGTCGGCGAACTTCGGAGAGGTGGAGGTGAGCACAACCGGGGGCTGGGTAGCCCCGGAAGACAGAAGCGGCTGCACCACGACGACATCCTCGATGCGGATGCCCCCGCGGATCTGGTCGATCTTGTCGAAGTTGTAGTACTTGCTGCGGCTCGGGTGGGTGCGGGCCTCCTCCAGCAGGAAGTCGATGAAGTACAGGCCAGGCTCGATGGTCAGCACGTGGCCAGGGGCCAGGGTCCAGTCGCGCGGCTGCGGGTCGTGCACATCCAGGCCGATTGAGTGGCCGAGGCCGTGAGGGAGGAAGGTGCTGTGTGTGTGTGTGTGTGTGTGTGTGTGTGTGCCGGTGCGCGTTCGTGCGAATGGGGAGGCAGAAAGACGAGTAAGAAGGTCAGAGGTGTCAGAGGCAGGGCGGACAGGTGAGCATGAGCACACAGATGGGGGCAGGAGGCATTGCCTACCTGCCAGCCAGCCAGCCAGCCAGATGCCACAGGCGGGCATCCCCACCCCAGGGCGGGTCGCCATGTACCTGATGATGTCCAGCTGCATGAGCTCCTCGACGGTGCCATTCTGCAGGTAGCCCGCCTCCAGCAGGAGGCGCGTGAGGGTCTGGCGAGTCATCCGGCCAAGGGCAGCAAAGGTGATCCCCGGGCGCGAGGCGGCGACGGCCTCAAGCTGGGCCTCCAGCACGATGTCATACACCTCGCGCTGAATGGGAGTGAACTTGCCGGACACCGGGAAGGTCCGGGTCAGGTCGGCGGCGTAGCCGCGGTGCTCGCCCGCCGCATCCAGCACCAGGAGATCCCCCTCCTCCAGGGAGTCGGAGTTGGCCACATAGTGCAGGATGGCGCCGTTGTCACCAGCACCGACAATTGGCTCATAGGCGTGATGCCGCAGGCCGCACACACCGAGGGCCTTGCTGACGACGCTCTCCACATGGTACTCGTGCATGCGCTTGGTGGCGACATTCTGCCCGGGACGGCGAAAGGGGAGGGGGGTTGTGCTGTGTCAGGGTCGCCAGGGCCTTTGAGCTGACGGGAAAGGGGACGCGCGCGTGTGTGTGTGTGTGTGTGTGTGCGTGTGTGCGTGTGATTGGGGGAAGGAAGCCCGAATGGGAGCCAGGATGGAAGAAAAGGGCATCGGGGTGATCGAGGAGAGGGGGAGGGGCGTGCGCGGACCTGCATGGCCTGGTTGTGCGCCTCGCAGCTGACGGCCGCCGCGTAGGCGATGCGCTCAATCTCGGTCGGGGACTTGACCAGGCGCACGCTGCGCACGATGTTCCCCAGATGCGGGGTGTGGGTGCCATTCAGACGGTCGACTGGCTCGAAGGTGGGCAGGTCGAGCAGATCCTCCGGGTCGGCCACCTGCACCGGCAGCAGGTCCGGATACCGGGCCAGCTCGGACCGGGCATCGATCCACTCGGACGACCGGGTGGCCGCCGGGTTGCCGCCATGCTCGTCCTCATGCTGGCGCCAGGAATCCTCGCCATCGATGATGGTCACATTGGCGGACCGGAGCTCCGGCACCGCGGTCAGCAGGGCCTCGGCCGAGTCCATGACATACACGCGCCGGGCCTTGAACGGGCCTTCCGGGTCTTCCAGAATGTCCAGCAGGTCGGAGCGCGCCTGGATGGCGTCCACCTCGGCCGCCCGGGCCCGGTCCTCCAGGTCTCCGTAGCCGCCCTCGAAGATGAGGTTCTGCCGGGTCAGGTCCGGGAAGAAGAGCTCCGCATGGCCGGAGGGGACGGCCACCACGAGCACCGCGTCGGCGACGTCGTGCACGCCGGTGGCGTGCAGGAAGCTGGCATCCTGCCGGTAGGCCACGGCCGTCTGCGTGTTGGACCGGTACTGGTGCGACGAGCCGGCCAGGATGAGCACGTCACCCGGGCGGACCCCGGGGCGCCCGGCGTTGATCGCCTCGCGGAGAGCTGGCCGGCGAGAGGAAGAGCGGGCAGGGTGATGGGGCGGATGCGGCAAATTGCCGGAGAGCGGGCCGAGAGGGGCAGGTAAGTGCCTGGCAAGTCGACGGGCCGATGCGGGGCACGCGCGAGAGATGGCTCATGTACCGGCGAGCACGCGGCGGCGGTTCTCCCGGTGCAGCGGCCGGCGCTCGGCAACCGGGTCCTTGGGCACGCGGCAGGTGTTGGGGTTCGAGGGGCGCGGGATGTCGGCATCGACGCGCGCGTCCGGCACATCAGCCGGAGTGCCATGGGCGTGCTTGCGCCCGCGGCGGATGTGCTTCGAGCGGCCGGCCAGACGAGGGGCGCCGCCGGCGACGGCGACGCTGGCCGTGGCGCTCGCCGGGGGGGCCTCCTTGGAGGCGGACACCAGCGACACGACGTTGCTGGTGAGGGTGAACGTGGCACCGAAGAGCAGGAGGCTACCAAGCACGAAGAGCAGGGCGACCGGGAGTTTCTGCAACGGGCGGCCCGGTAATCCGACAGGTAAGAGGGGGCGCAGGAGCGGGGAGGCGGCGGGCGCCGGGTCGGCAGGTGGCGGTCATAGGCGGGGACGTACGCGCTTCCCGGTGGCAGTACCAGCCTCAGGCTGG